AAATATAATTACATCGCTTTCCTCCTCCCTTTCCTCCCTCCAACCCCTACTAAGTCATCTCGCCTCTAACCTCTCTATGTCTCCCCTCACTACCTTGTAAGTTGATTATCTTTTTCTTTTATTAATATTGTTACATCTATATAGGCATAAATATATTAAATAATAACCCATTGAATCTGTTTAGTGTTGCTGATGTGTCTATAATTTTAGGACTGACCATTTGGTATTGGATAACTTATTAGGGATTCGTCCTGGAGAAAGATTAATTCTGCGTCTTCAGAAGTTACAAGTTGCCTATAGTTCTTTGTCTAGTAGTGGGACTCTGTGAGATTTCACCCTTCAACATTGGCGTGTCTATTGCCGTTGTCATTTTTCAGGTCTTATTTAACCAGGCACATTGTTAAGGGATCATGAGTGTAGATTCCCTGCCATTTCTGGAAGACACAATCTTACAGCAGACTTCCTAGCCCCTTGGTTCTTAAAAATCTTTCTGGCCCCTCCTCCATGACATTCCTTGAGCCTGAGGTCATATTTGAGGTGTATCCATTGAGGCTGGGAAGCCACAGTTACTGCTTTCTGACCAGCTGTGATTTTCTGTAATGGTCTCCATCCACTGCAAAGGGAAGTTTCTTTGGTGAGAGTTAAGAATAATTTCTTAAAACTCACTGAGTCCAGTTATTGCTGCCTGTGTGTTCATGGGTATATACCATCTCTAGCCTTTCAGAAGCTACATCCCTGACAAAATCTAACTCTCCCTCTTCCAGAAGCAACCAGTCAGTTGATACTAGCTCCACAATAGGGGTAGAATTCCATCCATGCTGAAATTTTAGTTGGCTTGCCCCATGTAGGTCTCATGCAAGCATGTAGTCATAACCATTATGAGTTTGTATATGTAATGGCACTGTCGTGTCCAGAATATACATTTTGCTGAAGTCATCCACTGCCTCTGGTTCTTATCATCTTTCTGCCCCTTCTTTCACAATCACTCCTGAGCCTTGATGGGAGGGGATATGATAGAGATGTACCATTCAGACCTTAACACGTCATAAATCTTATTCTCCACACGCTGACCAGTTGTGGGTCTCTGTAGTAAACACCTACTGTTCAAAACATGTCCTCTGGTGAAGTCTGAATGATGCACCTATTTATAGGTATAAGGAGGAATCTTTGGAGAAGTTTATTACTTTCACAGAATAATAGTATTAGGTTTTCTGCTAGGGCCTCTAACTTACATGGCCATGTTTTTGTTTGTTTTGATTTGGGTTTTTTTTTTTTTCCCAATTAATGGTACCAGGCATGAGCTGCATCTTGACAGTTGGTTCTAAATCCAATTATAAAATGTTTCGTTAAGTCCATACCATTCATGCCACTTCCACAAGTTGACATATCTTGCTAGGCCAGCTGTTATTGTAGCTTGACGGGTTTGTAAATAGTTAAAGCTGTTGATACGTTTTCTCCAGTAACATTGTGCAGTGGAACCTCCTACCATCCTGAAAGTTATTCGATAGGGATGAAGTATCTGGGTCAGTACAATCTTGATTTCTCCATATCCTGTGACTCAAGTGTGTGGTCTTGTCTTAAGGTTTCTATTGCTGTGAAGAGACACCACAGCCATAGTTCCTCATATAAAGGAAAACATTTAATTAAGGTGGCTTCCATTTTCAGAGGTTTAGTCCATTGTTACCACAGTGCAACATGGTGGTGTGCAGGCAGACATGGTGCTGGAGAAGGAGCTGAGGGTTCTACACCTTGACCCACAGATAATAGGAAGTGAACTGAGTGTTACACTGAGTGTAGCTTGAGCAAAGGAGACTTCAAAGCACACACCCCAGTGACAAACTTCCTCCAACAAGGCCACACCTACTCCAACAAAGCCACACCTGTAATAGTGCCACTCCCTATTCGTTTGTGGGATCCAAGTAAGTTCAATTAGATTAAATTAGATCATAGGTCTCTTCAGCAGTAGGATCTTACAGCCAAGTTTTAGAGAGCAACCAATGGTAATAATGTGTGATGTTTGTTCCCATGGAGCCTGACTGACCAACAACTTCAAAAGAGATAGCCCAAACCTCCTAACAGGATTTTTGTCTGATAGCCTATGGTGTCTGGTGTAGATTGTCCCCCGTTATAGAGTAACTCCATTTAAATTCTTTTTGTGTTTTAGGGAACTTTTACTAACAATGGGTTTTATATAACATTTTCAAATACTCCCTCCCATCTCCCACTCCACTTAATCCTACCTGTTGTAGTATTTTCTTTCCCATTTTCTTCTACCTTCATTCTCTCCCCTTTCCTTGAGATCTCCCCTAATGGCCCCTTTCTTGTTTCCTGCCTTCTATGGGTACTCCAATTTAAATACACATATCTAAAGAGTCACATCTAACACACTTTTCTTGATGCATGAAAACTATACAGAGGTGGATTATGGAAGGATTTGTTGAGGAAGGGAATTGAAAAATGAGAGGAAGAAATCTATATTGCCTTTCATCAAGATATGAGAGCATATTTGTGATTTCATGGAAATCAACAACTTCAGATTATATCAAGCCTTCCTCTTAAACATGCGCAACTGGCTAAATTAAGAAATTTGTGTTTACAGCCAGGAAGTGGTGGCACACCCCTTTAATCCCAGCACTGGGAGGCAGAGGTAGACAGATCTCTGTGAGTTCAAGGTTAGCCTGGTCTACAAGAGCTAGTTCCAGGCCAGCCAAGGCAACTCAGAGAAACCCTGTCTCGATAAAGCATAAAAAAAGGAAAGAAATGTATGTTTACTCCAGTCTCAAAGAATGAAAGCCTGCATGAGAGTATTCTTCAGTTATTGCTTCCAGTTAGCAAGTCAGAAACTGAATAGAAAATCAAGTGCTTCAAAGAAGAGCTTTGTGATACTCAGAAGTCATGTGACTTCTCATAGGACTGCTTTGCTTGTTTTGTTACCAAGACAGATTAAAGGGGACAGCAGTGAGGAGCGGAGAAGGCATAGGAGCGGAGAAAACGTAACATGACCATAGCATGAGCTGACATAGGTGGGAAGATTCTCAGACAAGATTTCAGGACTGACATCCCGAGTCCCTTAAATGAAAAACCACGGTGCTGTACCGGGCTCAGCTTCGCTTTTTGCACGGCAGCAGACTTCTGCTATCTCCCTCACCACCCCCAATCCTCCCTATAAAAAATTTCTGCTCTCCCATCTTCCTGAACCCCTCCTTCTGGCAGAACTCTGTGTGGAATGTCTTCTTAAAGCCGCCAGAACCTAATCACAAAGGTCTGTGAGATGGGCAGCCGTTCCCTGTTTATCAAGCCAGCAGCCAGCTGGCCAGTTACTACATGGGACATCAGAGCCATGCCAGGGAAGGTAAAAGGGTGAGGGGTGACTCTTTTCATCAAGATACTTTACTTCTGTGCATATTAAATACTCCAGTGCTGTTGTCTTATGCTGTTGATGCGCCTTTAGCTGTTGACTACACAGTGTGAATTAGATGGTTACGATAATGACAAATATGTAATCACTAACTGCTTTGATTCATGGCTTTGGTTTACTTCCATTGATTCCTTTTGTGCACCTTCAGAGGTCGTAGAACACTACAGCTGTCAATGCCTTAGAAGCACTTATCAGTGTCTCCCAAGTCATGGAGACTCTAATGTCAGCTGTTTAGTCAAAGAGACTTACTGATTTCAATGAAGAGCAGCTGGCAGACACCCCTTCAGCTCTGCACTCACCACAGAAACATTCATGGATTCTTGTAAAAGATCTTGGCGTTAATTCTCAATACGGGTACTGACTATTTAGCTGTGTGTCTTTGACAGGTCATACACTGTCTCTGAAATGGAATGCTAACTTCAGCCCCTAAAGTGTTTACAAGCAAATGAAATGCCAAAAGTAGCCTGTGAAGGCGGGGATTCAGCTCAGAGCGCTTGTTTAGCTTTCAGGAAGCACTGGCTTGTGTTCCAGCACTGCAGAAAAGAATCCCTTTCTCTAATGTTGTAGCCCCGCTGGCTGTGAAAGAGCAAGGTTAACACAGGTAATACTTGTCTATCTTCAGGATGCTCACTCCCAGTGCAGCGTGCTACACTTGTGAGGAAAACCTATAGAAGAATAAATAATACTTCTTATAAGTAAATATTATAAAGGACTTATTTTAAATATGAGAAAAAAGACTATTGTCATGATGATTTTTAAATTGTGGCAAATTGTCAGAATAATGAAAGCAACTAGCAATTGACTAAAGATTTGATAATAGTTGGGAGGTGGTGGCGCACGCCTTCAATCCCAGCACTTGGGAGGCAGAGACAGGTGGATCTCTGTGAGTTCGAGGCCAGCCTGCTCTACAGAACTAGTTCCAGGACAGGCTTCAAAGCTACAGAGAAACCCTGTCTCGTAAAACAAAAAACAAAAAAAAAATTAATAATAAAATGATTTGGGTTTGTGAGTGAGGAATTTTTGTAACGTACAGGGAAAGTGACAGGCAGTGGTGGTCCAGGCCTTTAATCCTAGCACCCAGGAGGCAGACAGGTCTCTAATTGAGTCCAACCTGGCCTACAGAGTAAGTTTCAGAACAGCCAGGACTACACAGAGAAACCTTGTCTCAAAAAAACAAACAAACAAAAAAAAAACAACAACAAAACCAACAAACGAACAAAAAGTACAGGGGAAGTTTCTTAATTCCTAATTGGTGATGAATCATGGAAGCCTGTTAGACATGTTTTTATTCAAAACATTTTTATATGCCATATTTTGACAACATTATTTCCCTTCTCCTCATTCCTCCCAGATCCTCCCCCACATCTCTCTACCCACACAACTTCAAGTTCTCTCCAATTTCTCTTCTTTCCTCTCCTCCCCTCTCTCTCTCAAAAAAAAAAAAAAGAAAGAAAGAAAGAAAGAAAGAAAAGAAACAAAATTCTAGGGCTGGAGAGATGGCTCAGAGGTTAAGAGCACTGGCTGCTCTTCCAAGGGTCCTGAGTTCAATTCCCAGCAACCACATGGTGGCTCACAAGGGAAGACGTGGATGATGATAACCTGAAAGAGCTCTTCAGTCAGTTTGGTAAAACCCTAAGCGTCAAAGTGATGAGAGATCCCAGTGGGAAATCCAAAGGCTTTGGCTTTGTCAGTTACGAGAAGCACGAGGATGCCAATAAGGCTGTGGAAGAAATGAATGGAAAGGAGATGAGTGGGAAAGCCATATTTGTAGGCCGTGCGCAGAAAAAAGTAGAGCGTCAAGCTGAATTGAAACGGAAATCTGAGCAGCTGAAGCAGGAGCGAATTAGTCGGTACCAGGGAGTGAATCTCTACATTAAGAACTTGGATGACACCATTGACGATGAGAAATTACGGAAGGAGTTCTCTCCTTTTGGATCGATCACCAGCGCTAAGGTGATGCTAGAAGACGGAAGAAGCAAAGGATTTGGCTTTGTCTGCTTCTCGTCTCCTGAAGAGGCAACTAAAGCAGTCACTGAGATGAACGGACGAATTGTGGGCTCCAAGCCGCTGTATGTTGCCCTGGCGCAGAGGAAGGAAGAGCGGAAGGCTCACCTGACCAACCAGTATATGCAGCGTGTGGCTGGCATGAGAGCGCTCCCTGCTAATGCCATCTTAAATCAGTTCCAGCCTGCGGCCGGTGGCTACTTCGTGCCAGCAGTTCTGCAGGCTCAGGGAAGACCTCCATATTACACACCTAACCAACTAGCACAGATGAGGCCTAATCCACGCTGGCAGCAAGGCGGGAGACCTCAAGGCTTCCAGGGAATGCCAAGTGCTATACGGCAGTCTGGGCCTCGTCCAGCTCTTCGCCATCTGGCTCCAACTGGTAATGCTCCGGCCTCTCGTGGCCTTCCTACTACCACTCAGAGAGTCGGGTCTGAGTGCCCGGACCGCTTGGCTATGGACTTTGGTGGGGCTGGTGCCGCCCAGCAAGGGCTGACTGACAGCTGCCAGTCTGGAGGCGTCCCTGCCACCGTGCCAAGCCTTGCACCTCGTGCTGCAGTTGCTGCCGCTGCTCCCAGGGCTGTGGCTCCATACAAGTATGCCTCCAGTGTCCGCAGCCCTCACCCTGCCATCCAGCCGCTGCAGGCACCCCAGCCTGCGGTCCATGTCCAGGGCCAGGAGCCACTGACTGCCTTAATGCTGGCTGCAGCATACCTCCCCCCAGGAACAGAAGCAGATGCTGGGGGAGCGTTTGTTCCCACTTATCCAGACAATGCATTCAAACCTGGCTGGCAAGATTACAGGGATGCTGCTGGAAATCGACAACTCGGAGCTGCTCCACATGCTGGAGTCCCCCGAGTCTCTCCGTTCCAAGGTGGATGAAGCTGTGGCAGTCCTGCAGGCTCATCATGCCAAGAAAGAAGCCGCCCAGAAGGTGACTGCTGTTGCTGCTGCTGCTGCTACCTCTTAGACAAGGAAAAAGCGTCAAAAGCCAAATCACCCCTCATGGCAAAAGCTGAGGTCTGAAGACTCCCTGGTTTGTCTGCGGACCTCCACACCAAGAACCACAGTTGCAAATTCAATAGGTCATTTTGTATCAAGAGGTCAATTATGAAGCACCTAGAATTTTTCAATTATGAGAATATATTCTCTGGGTTCTGCTATGGCCCAGGAGGTAACCTTTTTTTTTCTATTGTGGGTTCTGATTTTTTTCCCCCTCCCAGAAACTGGATTTAATGTACCCAAGTTTCTCAATAAAGAAAAAAATCTCAAAAAAAAAGAAACAAAATTCTAAAAATCAAATCAGAGAAACAAAAAGAGAGAAACTTAAACTTAATAATGATAGATTTTTCACCCACATGAGTATTTGTGTACATAATCTAGATGCTGTCCTGAGTATTTGATTTAAGCAGGTAGCACTGTGAATTTACCAATAGTCTCACAATATTGTAATTTTACTTTCTTCAGCTTCAGTTTTTATCTTGTCTGAGAAGTGATGTTCTTGGAGGCTGACTTGGATACATCCTGATACACAAGAACATGCACATGTATCTCTAATATTGTTAGCACGGCCAAGACAGTCTCAAGGATCAATACACTGAATTTTTCAATTTTCAGTAAAAGAACCCTTTGGGTACTTTGGGGTCATTCAAATTTATATCCATTTAGGAAATTCAGGAACCTTCGACAAGACTCAGACCCCTTGCTGGCTCAGGAATGAGGCTCAATGCCTCATTCCTGCCCCACTTACCCCAATGCCTGCCACACTGTATCTTAACAGCTTCATCTGCCTCCAGTTTTTCAAAAGAACTAATGGAAAGGTAGAACCTGAAAATCCAAGTGGTAAGAGAGTAAGGGACTAGCCTTTCAGCTAAAACATGGTGGTTGGTAGTAACGTTGTACTTTCATGGACTTCTCAGTGGCCACGCTTTTCAGAGGCAAAACCTAGAGACTGTGTCATGGGATTTCAGTAGGCAAATTCCAGGAGTAACTTCCCTTTCCTTGCCACACGGTTGTCTCTGCTCACAGCCCACTTTAATGTGATCCTAGTATGTGATGATTGGCTGTAGACGCAGCCCGTCCCTCTCTAGGTGAATATATTCACCTTCATACTTGGGTTGGGGCCCTGGAACGATGCTGGAGGTGTGGGTAGAGGCTACAGCCAACCCTGACTCTGCCCCTAGTCAAGGCAGCTGCATTCAGCTTGCTTTCTCTTCACCCCTGTGCACACGGCTTCAGCATGGGTTCTGGTCCCTACAACCACATCTCCCAAGGCTCACTTGAACTCAATGAAGAAAACTTTATGCTGCTTACTTTTTCCTCTCTCCCAAGTTCCTAAGTTGAGAACACTTTATTTTGCCAGGCATCATGACAAATGCCTTTAATCCCAGCACTCAGGAGACAGAGGCAGGCGAATCTCTGAGTTCAAGACCAACCTGGTCTACAGAACAAGTTTCAGGATGGCCAGACCTATACGGACCTATCTCAAAAAAACAAACAAAACAACAAAAAAAAAGTTTTTACATTTATACCAGTCAAAAGTAATGGCCAATAGGCTGTCTTCCCCAGGATGCCTCTACTTGCCTGTTAGGTAACTCCAAAATATAATGCAAACTCGCCCTACCTTACAACTATCCACACCCAAAGACTGAGATTGGACTTTAGTCTGTTTCACCATCACTGTCCTTGCCCCAACCCTCTGAGGTCTGGATACTACAAGGAGTTTGTGATTGCATCAGTTTGTATAGGCTCAGCAGTGTTGTACTGGAGATTTTTATCTACACCATCCAAAACCCTGGGTAGGCAGTGTCCATAGCCCTAAGAAAATCTTTGGAGGGAAGTGCTTTAATCTAGCCACAAAGAATTTACCAGAATGCAAAAGAAGGTTGGGATATGATGGATGGCCTTTTTGTGGATCTCTGGCCACAACCACAACACATGCAGGGCTTCCTGTCTCCGTGCAGACTCATTCATTCTACTTGTTCCTCTCTCTCTCTCCTCTCTTTTCTCTCTCTCTCTCTCTCTCTCTCTCTCTCTCTCTCTCTCTTTCTCTCTCTCTCTTCCCTTCCTCCCTTTCTCTTGTGTTTCTGTAGAGTTCTAGTTGCAACAATTCTCATACTTCTTTAATTACATGGTCTTATTCATTTTGTGTACATGCACAGGCGTGTGCCACAACACCCCTGTGGGAGACAAACAATGCAAAGAAGGGTGATGCATGTTTCTATGCATGCTTTGTGGGCTCACAATCTGGTGAGGAAGGCAGAGATGTGCAAAAACAAACAGCAGATGAAATGGGTGAGAGTGACGGCTGTGAATGAAACAGGGTCTTGGGAATAGAGAAGAAAACTTCCTGATGAATATATCCGGAAAGCTCTTGTGCATGGTGGTATAGTGAATTCATCAGAGGCAAGATGAGAGGGCTGGCTGAGGCTTCTGTCCTGCCCCGTTCTCGCAGTCATTAAGTCCCAAAGTCATAAAGTCATAAAGAAGTTACACAGAGGTCTACATTAATCATACACTGATTGGACTAGTAGCTAAGGCTTCTTATTAACTCTTATAACTTATATTAGCACATAACTGTTGTCTCTGTTAGCCATGTGGCTTGGTACCTTTTTTCGTGGAGGCAGTTACATCTTCCTTGCTCTGTCTGGCTTCCTCTGTTTCTGGGTGATAACTGCAGACTGAAACTCCCTCTTCCCAGAATTCTCATTGTCATGCCTCTACTTCCTGCCTAGTTTCCCCGTCTATACTTCCTGCCTGGCCACTGGCCAATCAGCATTTATTTAAAATACCAGTGACAGGGTACAGACCACTGTCCCACAGCAGATCCAGCACAAAGCAGGTCATGAAGTCAAAGGAACAGAATAGCCATGGATTGAGAAGCCAGTTGATGAGGGATAGTCTTTCGGCCACAGCAGAAGAACATTCGTGCCCACAAACATGGTGACTGACCCTCCATTTTGCCTATGAAGAGCCCCAAATCACTAGTTTTCATCATGGTTTTCATAACTTTCGTATTTATTTATAAGGGTGCATGCACATGAAGGTCAGAGAACAACTCTCAGGAGTCAGTCCTCTCCCTCCACCTCGTGACATCCAGAGTTCAAACCCAAGTTGTCAGGTTTGTGTGTGTACAAGAGCCTCTGCCTGTTGAGCCATTGCACCAGCCCCACATAAAAACCATTTTCAGTCGTCTTTCCAAAGAGGAAGGAAGCTTATCTGAGAAACAGAGAGGGGTCTGAAGTGGGACCCACACTTGACAACTGTATTTAGGAGCTCCTGTGGGTCTTATTATTATGCTGGGGAAAATACAAAACCATGGGTTTGACATGTACTCATGCCAATGCACACACTACAGACCTGGAGGTCTCCGTGGTCTTAGACTCCCACAGTGTCTCAAGCACAGAGAGTTCCACTGGTGTCTTAGATAACCTTCCAATACAACACCAATCCTTGGCAAACAGATGAGGAGATAGGAAAAGTCTGGATGTTTAAACAAGGTTCCCTGGCCTTCCCAGCCATAAAGATGTGCATAAAGATTGTTGTTTTTGCCATCACCCGGAATAGGGGAAAAACACGGATTTCAGCTATGTCACAGGTACACTACGGGAGCATCTTTTTACAGGATGTTTTTGTGTCTTCAGAAAACATGGCTCCTGGGACTGCCATGATGGTTCAGGGGGGAGAACACTTGTGCCCAAACTCTTGCCCCCCCCCAAGCTCCGTTCCTAGAGCCCATGTGGTAGGAGATAACTAACTCTTGAAAGTTGTCTTCTGACCTCCACATACTTGCCAGAGTGGGTACATGTGTACACACAAACAAATGTATAATATGAAAGAATAAAAGAAAGAAAGGAAGGAAGACAGAAAGGAAGGTTGGTTGGTTCATCCTAACACCCTCCACTTTCTGCCAGTCTTATTTAGTGCTGGGAAGACTTTTACATCCACCATCCCTTCTAAGAAAGTGATACAGTGCACGGAAGATGTAGATGTTGAAATCTACCCTCTGTACACTGTGCTCTAAGGGGTTCAATGACTTGCCCCCGGTCAGACAACTTGAGCAGGTGCTAAATTTGCCCCCTCTGGAGCCCAGGCCCTGCTTCTGTGCAGTAACGCAGAAGGGCAGCATGAAGGCATTTTTCTCTCCTTGTAAAAGAGAAATACGAAGGATGGGGAATTATTGAAACACACCTCAGTCATTCTGCAGTCAGCGCATTGTTTCTCCTCTAGAAACACCCCGTTGATTTTTAAATCCCTTTAAACCTCCCTGGCACCTGTATGGCCCCGATCCAAAAATTATTACCGAATCCCTTGCTCGTGCTTTTTATATTTAACCTCATAGGAGTTTCAGTGATTGTGACTCTGGTTTAGTGGAGAATTTAGGGGCCTCCAGGAGTTTCCTTCTCCCATGGTAGCTAGAATCATGTAGTACTGGGACCTCAATATAAGAATGTATTTGTTCCTCCCTACCCCTCTTTTTCTTAGCCAAGTACACACAAACACAGACACACGCACACTGGTTCTTGTAGGTTTTTAAAAAGCATAATCACACAAGCTCGTGTTGTCTCTGGATGTCAATGGCTCTGAAATATTGATGAAAAGAGTCAGAGGAAGGTGACGTGGGGAGTTCACCAGGGTTAGTTGCTCCTACTACATGGTACGGCTTCTTTTCGGGCGAACACTGAGGCTGCAAACATAATGAGAACTTCCCAACAAATTCATTATAACAAAGCTTACTGCAAGCTCTCCGGGCACAGAAATAGACCCGAGGAAAGTGACTCCCACATAAGATCTAACTAAATACTTTGATGTCAGAAAGGAGAGCTAGGAGGATCAGAAAGTCAAGTCAGATCCATGTGAAGGGCCTACATTCACACGAAGAGAGAGAGAGAGAGAGAGAGAGAGAGAGAGAGAGAGAGAGAGAGAGAGAGAGAATTCCCATCCCCTCCTGTCTCCTCTCCTCCCACCATCTCTTCCCCATCCTTCTCTCCTTTCCTTCTGTTCTATGAAGGAAGAGTAAGCCTCGGGAACAATGAGTTGTAAATTCTTGAGCCAATTAGCCCAGTGACTTACTACTGTTTCTAATGCACAGAATGTCACAGGCTGTTTTGCAGCCGCCCCAAGTCGGTTTGTTAATAACAGGAAGCTAGCACTTCTCAGTACAGTGGATCAAGCTACACGTGAAAATAAATGCAAAAAACCTGGAGGGGAATAGCAGCAGACCGAGAGTAGCCGTGA